AGGTGAATTCCGGTCTATATCCTCAATCTCTGGTAGCTCAGTAAATTCTGGCACGTTACGTGATGGAGCAAATCTGAGATCAGATTTGGATTCAGCACCTTAAAGTTAGTAAAAAAACAGTTAAAAGGTTTCATGCCAGAAAAAAAAATATTTTTTGTAGACCAGTGTAATATAGGAATGTACAGTAGGTCAATAACTGAATTATTATGTCCATTTTGAGGCGTGATTAACATACAAGGTGATTGATAAATTCCTGTCCTCCTGCATTTATTAACAATTCAGTTTTTGTTATACCTATCTTATAATAAACTTTGTTCCGCTTACAATAAATATAGGAAATGGTAACCTATCCACTTCTAACATTTACTCTGACCATTGCTAGTATATACTATAAATGGAATAAGATAAATAACCATATTGTTAACTGTTGCTGGTGTACAGAAATATTTAGATCACCAATTACACATGTCTGTCTTACCTATTTAGTGAATTAATTACACTCAAGGGTGGCTGAAACATTAGAAGATATGCGGCCTATCACAGTGTAAGACGACAACAAGAGAATTATGATTTAGATAGCCAACAGATTTCTCCCAAATGGCGACATAATTGAGGGTACAATTTAATGGAAGAAAAGGACCTCACCATCATCCACCAAAGTGTGGATAGCTTACAAGAAGTACATCTAAATTATCAGGTACAAGTGAACGGTGACATAGTGATTAGTGACTACCTGTCTTTAACATTGGGTCATCGGGGCAATAATGTTGAAAATGTGTGATTGTTATACAGAGTGCAGGAAGAGAAAGGCGGAACATCCCAGCCTTTTGTGAGCCGAGACAATATTATGTCTGGGAACCATAAGTCCATGTCGACGATACTTTTATGAGAATAATATTTTTTTTGTGGCAGTATCGAAAAGACAGGATATCTGACCTCTCTTCACCCCTGCGATAGGTTGTAACACAGAGCGGAGGGTGTATAGGTCCAGCATCAGGGAGAGCAATTTTAAGTGATTTGTGATATAATTCTTATTATAGTGTGGAAGACACTATAGATGAAAAAACACTAAACTTCCCCCCCCCCAAAAAAAAAAATCCCTCTTTTACTTTAACATTGATTCGGAAAGTAGTTCATCGATACTGATTATTGTAACCTAGTGATGTGATCAGCAGCTGACTGCGGTGAATGTCAGGTATCAGGTAAGGTGTTAATTAAGTCAGGAGCTTTTGTCCTCTAGAGCTGTTGAAATTTATACTTTTTCAATAAAAGCAGACTACGAGTTCTTCTAAAACCACTATTAGATTTGTACCTTGTGGATGTAGTATTCCAGTTAATGGTATGACCCAACCCGTCGTCGTCAGTGGACCGGACATTTGTCTTCAGCTAGCGCCTAGCTACCTACTTTGACAACTAGTGCAAGCCGAACCCTGCGGGTAGTGCCACAAAGGAGAGGTGGTGGAGCTAGTCAAAGTAGAGGTGTTCTCCTTCTGCACAACAGAGGCTTTTCGTTTGCGAGTCGCAGACAAGAGCTGAGTCTTAGTGACTCAACAGCCCCGGAAAAAGTCCGATAGCTAGCCTTTGTAGGGATCCTATTAATTAGCGACAGACTCCTGTTTTTTCTTTTTCTTTTTTATTTATTAACTGATGGTGTCACACCACTCCTTACTTAGCTATAACATTCCCTCGCCTCGCATGGTGTAAACACCAGGGTTGCCCCCACCTTTTTAATTTTTGTAGAACATTAACAAGATTTTTTAAAACATTGTTGCGGTCGATCGTTGACATGGGCCTAATTTGGCGCCTGGCTGCCCCAACCACTGAAGATCGAGAGAAGGGCGATGGTACAGTTGCGGAAATGTGTTCCTACGCCCCTTGTGGTAGCCCGTGTCTTGAAACGGCAACGTCGCGGTATTAGTATCAGTATTATGAATGAATGATTAAATTATTGGTCGTGTAACGACGGACGTGATTGGTAGATAGGTTAGCTATAGGTCATATAGGTTGGCAGTTGGAGACACGGGCTACTATAGGGGGTGTAGGACACATTTCCGCAACTGTACCAAATACAGAAAGGTGGTGAGCACAGTTTTGACAAAGCATAAAAATGCAGAGTGTATCATTTGTGGGAATGACCCAATGACCCATGCGATCGGGGATGGGCAATCAAAGACAGTGAACTCATGCTGCGTCAGAAGAGTGCATCAATCAGTAACATTTACATGAAGTCAGAAGATAAGTTTCTTGCTATCAAAGACTTCCACCTTCTTCTTGGTAAAGCAGAAAATAAGATCCGTTTGCAGTCATTTCTGCAGGCTGGATTCTAGGGCATTACAGACACATCTGCTGTCGAAATCGTCTACTGCAGCGTTTATTAACCTTTTTCTGACCTCAGCACCCCATTTAGTCAGGTCTAGGCAGTCTAGCACCCCCTTCATCTGGTTGTAGAGACTACAGTTGCTACAGGGCTATAAAAAGTAAGTAAAGTATTGCTTGATAATTTATTTGGTTCATTCTCCAAAAATAAGGCCTTTCCCAGCACCCCCTGGGGGTGTTAGCACCACAGGTTAAGAAACGCTGTTCAACTGTATAGGTCCCAGTGCGAAAAACCTCAGTACAGGCCAGCCTGCACCGCAGTTCGCCTGTTCCTATGCAGAGGCTGGCACCGCAATGTTTTTCATCTATAGTGTCCTCCGGTCAGAAGGCTATTACAGAAGCTGTCATTCTTGATACAGAAGACACTGATTACTGCGTTCAAGCAGCTTATGTTGCCCAGGAAATATGTGAGGAGGAAGACGCAATTCATCACCTCTCGAAGTCTATGTGATGAGGAAATGGCGGCTTGTATCATTCCACTCCATGTCCTCATAGACTGCGATCATAGCTCTGGCTTCTGTGGCACCGGCAAGAAACTGGTGGCAGATCGCGTCCAAAGTTATAAAGAGGCATGTGACCTTTTGGCATCGTGTGACTCAGAGCTGCAAACCCCAAAAGATGTCCTCGATGACTCGGAGAAGTTTGTGATCCGATACATCTACTGTGACGCCAAGAACACGAATATGGGAGAAGTAAGTGGAGTGGCACAGAAGAACACCATCCTACTGGCACCTGTCTCAGACAGTCTTCACCTCCACTTTAAAGCGGACAAACTATCTCAGTTTTCTGCTGAAGCACCAAAACTTCTAATTCCACCCCTCATCCGTCGGACATGGATGGCATTTGTTTGATGACCTGTGCCTGCCTATAAGCTACACCCAGCCCCCACTCCCCACATCACTACTCCTTATTCCGGATGATGAAGACATGGACACAGACAGTGAAAGTGACACTAGAGATGTTGCTGATGGTGACAGTGAATCTAATGGTAGCAGTGGCTTAACCAGTGACAGAGACAATGATGCTTTAAATGTATGAGATTCTTGTAGTAAAGCATAAAAAAGGAGCTTTGTTTAATTTTATTCAGAATACAGTATACCCCAGATACCGAGATCACAAATTATTCTCGCATGGTGGCGTTGCTGTAATGAAAACAGTGACCATTATGTTCCCACCCGTTTTTATACGCTTTCAGGGTGAAACTATTTTGTATAATGGATCGAGGTGACCTCAGAAGTAAAATAAATTTTTTATCCATTCTGCCACGCTGAAACTAGTGACAGAAGAAGTCTTATTCATGCATGAAGCGCGGTTGGTTCCTTAGTTGAATCGTTTTTCCATTTTTAACCTTCGAGATGGACCCTAACTTCGATTTGGAGGTCAAGATGGCGCCCAAACTAAAAAATTACCATCCCGTCAGATTTCTCACCTCAAGATTAGTGGAGAAGGGCCCCTTATTCATGATCCTAGTGTATCTAGTTCAGTATTTCTCAAACTTTTTCACTTCATTCCCCCCATGAGGAACACTCAACATCCTCGTGGCCCCCTTCAGTTCTCTCCCAAGCCCCTCACAAAAAATGATGAAAATAAACTGTTTTGGTTCTCTTCCTTTATTTTAATGTTTTCAATCATCAAACAGAATGCATATTTTGTTACATTTCAATGTGATGGATGACATTGTTTCCTTTCAGTCAGTCGACTTATTCGAGTCAATGATAAAGCACATCTCATATCTGGGTCCACATGTAACCCGTTTCGGCTTTCATTCCCTATTTGAAGAAGGGTGAAGAAACCAGATTAACACAAATAATTAGTAAGCAAAAAAAATTTCTTCCCTAACAAGGCAAAGTAACAAAAAACAGTTGAATCAGAGTTTCCACATTTTCTCCAAACATATACAACTTACACTAGCCTGCCAGGGCCCCCCTAAGATCTTGCCGTGACCCCCTTGGGGGCCATGGCCCCCAGTTTGAGAAACACCGATCTAGTTCAAAAGTTATCACCGGCCATATCGCGAAAATGACCACTGGCCGCCATTTTGGAATTTGCGCTCCCGCCGAGTTAGCTGACATTTTTTCAGAGGTCCATGGGAGCTAAATTTTGTTTGGATAGTCCCTGGAACACAAATCAACAATATAAACAGGTAGTAAAATAATGGTCACGGATTTGATAAAAATGACTTCTATATCGGCCACTCACTGGGACATCACTGAACATCGGCAGTTATATACTGAGGTGAGGGAAACGAGGAAGTGCAGGAGTCGTATTTTGGTGATATGCTGAAATTCGTGCAAAATGACACAACTTTTACATTTATGTATGAAAATGTCCTTATCCGAGAAGACAAGTTATGTGTTCTAATCTATTTATAAGGACAGATTCCTTTTATACACACACACACACACACAGAGGACAAAGGAAAGGTGATTCATACAATATGCAGGTAACTACAAGGACACAGAAACACAGATAGTTTCAAGCGATTTCGTGATTATTCACATCTTTAGAGGAGCAATAAAATCAAGGTGGCCGAGGAGGGTGTTGAGGTAGAATATATATATATATATATATATATATATATATATATATATATATATATATATATATATATATATTGTCTAGCTACAGTGCACTGGAAATAGTATACATCCACGGTGTATATACACTGTATCCCTGCGTTGTGTATATGCATGCTGAACCGTATACGTGTATATACTTGCCATACCAATTGTAATCTTGTATTATGATTTTATTGAATATATATTTATTTTTCTATCTATTTATTATGATTGAGAGTTAGACAGGTACTGGGAGATTTGTCACACACACACACACACATACACACACACACACCATTGGACCTTTTTAGAGTAGGACTGAACTTAGGTTCTCTTGAGAAACATATAAATGAGTGTTTCAGTTAAACCAGATTCTGCTGACTGATCGAAGTCTCCAATACATTTAAAGATAATATCAAAATGTGTTTTTATCCGTAGTAAAATTCATAATTCCTTCCTGATAATTTTAACTTTGCAGTTGGGGAAGTGAAGGTGGTCGAGTGATGTGGTGACAACGCTTCCTTGTTGCGCTCAAAGGCGCCCATTTTAAATGTGAGATAAGGGTAATTATGTGTTAGTTTAGATTTAAAAGGTTTGGGGAGGATATCATGAAGCTGGAGGTTGAAGAACTAAAGAAATGTAAGTAGAAAAAATGGAAACGAAAAGTTCGATATCGCTCGTGTAGGTTAAAAATAGATATCAGTTGAGGTGCCTCTTATGTCACGAGAGGAATGGTGAGATACTGCAAGCGTAGAGCCTCGGAGGATGTAAGTGTTAAGATATCACAAGTAAGTAGAGAGAATGAATGAAGTAAAGATGACACAACACAGTGTCTGGTGGCGCAAGGGAGAGGTATGACTGAGTGTTCAGTTGTGACAAATGGAATGATATACTACAGAAGAGGAAGTACTGGCTTGGAAAGATCAAATATCGCTAATGTGAGAAGTCAAAGGAGTACATACAAGCTCAGGTGTCAGTTGATTAAGCTCTTATGTTGCAGTAGAAGGGGATCAACTTGTTATATCTTGCAAGTTCTTAAGACTCAGATGAGAAGCTAAATAAATATAGTGATTGTATGCTTCTGATATTGCAGGTGGATGGGTGGATAAGATGTCGATGAAGAGGCACATGAAAGCGGGGTGGTTTAAATATCGTTACTTAATTAATAAAAAAAATTCATATTAAATCTGGGAAGTTTACATGGGTCATTTGAAATATTCAATTGATTAATGGTTTGAGAAAAACTATAGTTCTCGCAGATAAGATGGATTCACTTGTTGCAAGAAAGGAGTTCTGATACTGCACATGATTGCTTCCAGATGTCAAGGAATTTAAGACATACAGATGTCGCACGTTGAGGGATGACGTCCAATACGATGAATGTTCCATTGTCATAAGTGAGAGTTAAAACACAGTAGTCGGGTGTGGCAACTGGATAAAGCTGAAATATCACATTGAGTATAAAAGCTTAACATGGCGCAGGTGAAGGGAAGGTTAAGGATGACAGCCCAGGTGTCGCCAAAGGCTTAGATGTCACAGGTGGGCGGGCAGGTGCAGGGCGGGTGGTTGGTGTGGGCGGCCCCGTAAATGCCACGGTGTTCAAGACTCTGGCCACCCCTTGTCTTCTGTAGCCACGTGGAAGTGGTGCGTGTTGACATCTGTGAGGGGGGACACGGTGACTTTAAAACTCCGCACACCCTCACAGAACAACTCTCTCTCTCACGTACCCAAATGCACACAGACACACACTCCTACACATATACAGTATACCTCCACAAAACTCTCGTACGAGTCAGCAAACGTGCACACATACATACTGTATATATTTACCCAATCATATTCATATAATACAGTCACAAGCATACACAAACACTTACAAACACAAATACATACATAAGAACTTATATCCCTAAACAAACGGACACACACACACACACACACACCTGGCGTTATACATTATCAGAAAAGTGCCAAATGTATTTTGCTTTGTATTAAAGTGTTGTATTTCATAATTGTGTACTCTTTTAAAGTATAAGGCATTCCTTAGGAGTTCAGATACAAGTGTCAGTTCAAATGCCAGCTCAAGTGTAATGATCAAGTGCCGAGTTCAAGTTCACGGTTAAAGTGCCAGTTTCATATCCAAGGAATTCAAGTTTCAGGTCGGAAATTCACAGAAACCCCACAGGATGGAGTGAGAGTGAATGGTCCTCACTGCTTGACTGAGGCTGCTGTCCTAGGTTGTTGTTTTTTTGCGTGTGATTTTGGTCTAGACTCTAGAGTTAAGGAATCTACAAGTTATATTAACTCGAGACAATATCGCAGGTGGTCTATGTGGGGCTATATAAGTGCCAGCCCCCCCATAACTCTTATGATAACATTTACATTTTTAGTTTGGACGTAACTGTAAGAAAGAAGTAAGTTTAAATCTTGTATTTAGCCTTCACAGCTGCAATCAATGCAAAACAACTATCCACCTTTCTGTGGCAGCTCAGGTCCACGTTATAGCTTGTCTGTGACCCATAGTTGCTGGGAATATATATATATATATATATATATATATATATATATATATATATATATATATATATATATATATATATATATATATATATATATATATGTAATATTCAGAAATTTCAGTGTAATTTCAAACGCCGTGCCATTGGCGATACTGAGTTCAAGGTCGTCTGAGGGAAGACAGCGCTTCCGCACGTAGTGAGAGTTTCTGGAACTAGGCCTATACGATATTAAATGTAATTTACCGAATTAATATGGAGGCGAATTATGAAATTAAATATCAGTTATTAAATTAAAAATAATTATAGATCGTTTCCTAGTCTGAAAATGTTGGTACGTCCTCCTAATTTAGCTGTTAATCGTCTGGTAAATAAGTCATTTCTGAAAAGCGTGAACCAGTGAGCAAGCGTGGCTGGGGAGTTGTGAGAGAGGTCAAGCGGGAGGACCATCTCTGTTCTGTACCCAGGAGAGACGGACCGCGTGAACTGGTTCCTTCTTTTATTTAACATCAGTATTATCAAGTAAGTTTTATTCAATCTCAGACAAAGCTAGATAGGGTGGTAGGAACAAACGGTGATGTGAGACAATAGCTAACAGCTTGGGGTTTTTCAGGGTTCTGTAGAGCCCACGCGGTGTGAAACGTCTACGGTATGATAACGTCCACTGGCGGTATGAGAGGAGTGGTGAAGCGATCTGTATGACCGTCCACTGACCTGGGTTTGAGCCACCTGTTGAGTATGGTGAGAGTTGGAGTGAAACCAGCTGTCTGGGTGCCCAACTAACGACGTGACGATCATTTGGGGTCATCAGCTCTCCTTTACCTAGGCTCACAATACCACATACCTTCAAGCAGCTTAGTGAAAACATTTTACTAAAGGGAAGCTAAAGCTTCTCTCAACTGTACAAGGTCTGATTGGCTCAATCCCTTCCGTTTCATGGATGTACTGGGGGTAAAGTGAAGCCAGCTGAGTGAATACAGGGCCACACACTAGGGCCAGGAGTCTAGTGGAACTTAGAGGTACATTTTCCAAGGTTGAGAAAGGCTGGTTTGGGCCTTAAACTACGGGTGCCTGTTGGTTGTGCCTTAAAAAACTACGGAAGGCAGGTGGAATCTATGTGTTAGGTTAGGAAGCATGGTTCACGGGTATTGGTGGACTCAGTAACTTCTTAATAATAGTGATAATATTTTTGTGTGCAGTTAATATCTCTTAAATAATTTTGATAGTATTTTTTTCTATGTTGTGTCACTAATTGATGCCAGAGAATGAGGGAACTGTTTTTCAGATGAGGTTCCTCCTCTCTGTTGTAAGTGATACTATGATTTAGTTCTTTAATGCATTTAATATTTCTTTATAATTTCAATCTCAGGTATAACCTTAGTTCCCCAGAGTAGTGTTTAAGTTAGGTTAGGAGGTGGGCATCTGTTGGGGGTAATAAAATTTTGTTGAGTGCCCTGAAGGCCTATTCATGGTGGAGTTAATAAGTTCGTATTTTTTTATACCATTTTCAAAGTGCTTGATATAATTTTGTTGAGTGCCCTTAAGGCCTATTCATTATAGAATTATTAATTTCTTATTTTTTTAATACCATTTTCTCAGTGATTGATATTATTTTGTTGAAAGCCCATAAGGCCTGTTTCAAGGGCACAAGCAACATTTCTTAATACTTTGAATTTATTGTTGTCTAATGAGGCATTGTCTAAGTTTCTAATAATTGCAATATCATGTATAACTTTTATTCCCCAGAGTAGTGTTTTAAGTTCAGGTTAAGAGGTGCGCATATGTTGGTGTACCATTATTTGACTGTCTGTAGTGTTGGAGGGAATATAAGTGTCTAAATTTTACAGTGTGTCTCATTCATCCCAGTCACAGACGCTATCCTTCCACGGGTCACGGACAATTAATTTTGTTAAGTAAATTTAAGTGTTCTTGTGCTGGTTCGGATTTTTCTCAAAAGGGCGCTTCCACTGCAATTTCCTTCTAATAATTAATAAACCCCAAGTCAAGTGAGAAATTAAAGTCCAGTAATTCCGACCGGTTACATATATATATATATATATATATATATATATATATATATATATATATATATATATATATATATATATATATATATATATATATATATATATATATATATATATATATATATATATATATATATATATATATATATATATATATATATATATATATATATATATATATATATATATATATATATATATATATATATATATATATATATATACTGTATATATATATATATGAAATAGAAGTGCAGAACAAGTTATATATATACAGAGGAGGGTGAGAACAAGTCCACAGAGGTCAAGTATATACTGTATATATAACTTGTTCTGCACTTCTATTTTAGTTTGTACTCACCCCTGAAGATGGATATATATATATATATATATATATATATATATATATATATATATATATATATATATATATATATATATATATATATATATATATATATATATATATATATATATTTCATGTAAATCCACAATGAAAACGTGGATAAAGATAAATCTTGATAAAATCACACTAACATGGTGTACCCAAACATTATCCACCACTACAAGGATCACAAGTGGCTGCGTGAACGCGCAATTCTGGCACCAAAGAATGAAACAGGGGTTGAAATCAACATGACTCTACTCAGGCAGCTTCCAGGTAGTGAGACCTCATTCAAATCTGTTGATACAGTAATCGACCAGGACCAAGCAGTCCAGTACCCTGCAGAATTCCTTAATTCTTTGGAGCCCGCTGGAATGCCTCCTCACCACCTCACTCTAAAGATTGGAACTCCTATAATGTTCTAAAGAAATCTTGAACCACCAATCCTCTGCACTGGCACAAGACTGGTGGTGAAGAACATGATGCCACATGTACTGGAAGCTACAATACTGACAGGAAAAGCTAAAGGAGAGGACGCTTTTATACCAAGGATACCTCTCATCACCACTGACCTGCCATTTGAGTTCAAGCGACTTCAGTTCCCGGTTAAAGTGAGCTTTGCCATGACCATCTATAAAAGCCAGGGACAGTCCCTAAAGATGGTTGGCCTAAACCTGGTGTTTCCTTGCTTCTCTCATGGACAGTTCTATGTTGGATGCTCCAGAGTGGGAACTGGCAAAAATCTGTACATACTTGCTGTTAATGGTAAAACCAAAAATGTGGTCTACCTTAAGTTGCACTACATGTGAGACATTGTGGAGCCTCCCGGACTTGCTGTTAATGGTGGTCTACCTTAATGTACAGTGAGACTGGAGCTCCCGGAGGGTGGGTCCTACCGTGGCCGAAAGAGGGCGATTCCGCTAGTATATATATATATATATATATATGCTGATAACCACAAGGAAAAAGAAAACACGAAGTTCCCAAGCGCTTTCGTGCAATTCATATCTTCAGGGGTGAGTACAGACTAAAATAGAAGTGCAGAACAAGTTATATACTTTATATACAGAGGAGGGTGAGAACAAGTCCACAGAGGTCAAGTATAGGTAATGACCCTCACAGATTCCCTGGAGAATATTCCCTTGCCCGTCTCAAAAAATAGTTTCATTGAACTTATCAAACTGTGTATTAAGGAATGTAAATTTGAATTCAATGGAGAATATTATGCTAAATGATTTGGTAGGGCGATGGGTAATCCACTTTCACCAGTGTTGAGCAACTTATGTATGGAATTTTTTGAGAAGAAACTACTAAGAAATAATTTACCACCTTTAGCAGTTTGTTTTAGATATGTAGATGATGTAATATGTCTTAGGCCATGTGATGAAGACTTAAAAGCCTTTCTACCACTACTTAACAATTTAGTCCCCTCTATCAAATTCACAGTGGAATTAGAAAGTGACTGCAGATTAACATTCCTAGACTGTCTGATCCACAGAGTAGGTAACACCTTTAAGTTCAGTATATATAGGAAACCTACCAATGTGTGTTCATATAATCATTATTATACTGCCCACTATAATAGTCAAACAGTCAGTATTCTCATTAATGTTTTTACGTGTTCTACGAATATGCAGTACGGAATTTTTTGTTGAGGAATATAAATATATTTATAATATTGGATTGAATTTATAATACCCTAGTTCTTTTTTAGACAAATGTTTTAACATCACTAAGAATTTTTTTTACAGACCTGATCGTAAACCTCCCCATGCGTTTACAAAGGGAAAATCTTGTCTAACAAATCTGCTGACATTTTTTAGGAAAGTCTTCGAGGTAGTAGAAAATGACGAAAATTACGATGTTATTTACTTAGACTTTAGCAAAGCGTTTGACAGAGTACCACATCAGAGGCTTCTGAGAAAAGTTCAGGCTCGTGGTATCGAGGGGAAGTTTTAAATTGGATAAAATCGTGGCTTACCGATAGAACACAGACAGTCAGCGTAGATGGTGTTAAATCTGAGTGGGGTTGTGTAACCAGTGGGGTTCCCCAGGGGTCAGTACTGGGCCCACTTTTGTTCATAATTTACATAAACGATCTAGATACTGGGATCAGCAATGACATAAGCAAGTTTGCGGATGACACCAAAATAGGGCTGCAGATTAATTCAGGGCAGGATGCAAATGCACTCCAAGAGGATTTAAACAAACTGCAGGAGTGGTCAGAGAAATCGCAAATTAAATTCAACACACCCTAATATATATGCAAGTAAATCACTGTAGGTGCGCGTGATCTAGGTATATGCATAATTTCACACAGTTTTACAGTCTTACACAGTCTTACACACTCTTACAGTCTCACGAAGTCTTAGGCTGACTCAGTCTTACAATCTTAAACAGTCTTACTCAAGTCTTACTAAGATTTACACAGTTTTAAACATTTATACACAATTTACACAGCTTTAAACATTTATACACAATTTACACAGTTATACACAGTCTTGCAAAGGCTTTCACGGTTTACACAATCTTACACAGGCTAACACATTCTTACAAATTAAAAGTCTCACAGTCTTGCACAGTCTTAGAGAGTTTCAAACAGTCTTACAAAGTCTCACGTAATCCTACAGTCCTACACAGTACACAGTCTTTCACAACCTCAAACAGTTTTACACTGTCTTACACGGTCTTACAAAATAACACAGTCTGACACAGTTTTGCAGAGTCTTACACAGTCTGACAGTCTGACACAGTCTTACACAGTCTGACAGTCTGACACAGTCTTAGAAAGTCACACAGTCTGACACAGTCTTACACAGTAACACACATTTTCACACAGTCTTACAAAGTCTCACATAGTCTCACACATTATTATACAGTCTCACACAGTTTTACACAGTCTTACACAGTCTCACATAGTCTTAAAAAGTCTCACAAAAATCCCACAGTCTCACACAGTCCTTCATAGTCTCACCTGTGCAGTCTGGAAGCGGCCACGGTAAATCATCACGTAGGAGTTGGAGGGGTTAGAATCTGTGCCCGTCCTGGGGGGCGACACCGGCCACCTGCTCATGTGAAACACCATCTTCACCACCTGTAACATATTGTACACTGTAACACTGCCTGTATACATGTAACAGTGCCTGTATACATGTAACACTGCCTGCATGTAACACTGCCTGCATACATGTAACACTGCCTGTATACATGTAACACTGGCTGTAACATTAGCCGTGACTCCTGTAACACTAACTGTAACATTGGCCGTGACTCCTGTAGCACTAACTGTAACATTGGCCGTGACTCCTGTAGCACTAACTGTAACATTGGCCGTGACTCCTGTAGCACTAACTGTAACATTGGCCGTGACTCCTGTAACACTGGCTGTAACATTGGCTGTGACTCCTGTAGCACTAACTGTAACGTTGGCCGTGACTCCTGTAACACTGGCTGTAACATTGGCCGTGACTCCTGTAACACTAACTGTGCATTGGCCGTGACTCCTGTAGCACTAACTGCAACATTGGCGTACTCCTGTAACACAACGTGACATTGGCCGTGACTCCTGTAGCACTAACTGTAACATTGGCCGTGACTCCTGCACTAACTGTAACTAGCACTAACTGTAACATTGGCCGTGACTCCTGTAACACTAACTAACATTGGCCGTGCCTCCTGACTGTAACATTGGCCGTGACTCCTGTAACACTAACTGTAACATTGGCCGTGACCCTGTAACACTAACTGGCGTGGCCGTGACTCCTGTAACATTAACTGTAACATTGACCGTGACTCCCTGCAACACTGGCTGTAACATTGGCCGTGACTCCTGTAACACTGAACAGCTGTAACACTAACATTGGCCGTGACTCCTGTAACACTAACTGGTAACATTGCCGTGACTCCTGTACACTAACTGTAACATTGACCGTGACTCCGTAACACTGGCTGTAACATTGGCCGTGACTCCTGTAACACGTGATGTAACTGCTGTAACATTGGCCGTGACTCCTGTAACACTAACTGTAACATTGGCCGTGACTCCTGTAACACTAACTGTAACATTGGCTGTGACTCCTGTAACACTAACTGTAACATTGGCCGTGACTCCTGTAACACTAACTGTAACATTGGCCGTGACTCCTGTAACACTAACTGTAACATTGGCTGTGACTCCTGTAACACTAACTGTAACATTGGCCGTGACTCCTGTAACACTAACTGTAGCATTGGCCGTGACTCCTGTAACACCAACTGTAGCATTGGCCGTGACTCCTGTAGTGGACGTCTCCCCTACAACCCCCTACAACTGCCTAGCGGCGTCACCACCTGCCACCACATTCCAACGTGCCGTTGCCTAGCAACCAAGCGAGAGCTGTCCCCAGATGTTACCGTATCTTAGCAACGGAACTAGTCACCGGCTACTTCTCGGGTTTTCCCAACATGACTCATAGAGGACTGGCGGCTGCTGCTGGGTGTATATAAGCTCTGTCTCTCCATTGAGATTGATTCAGACCATTCTTCTTGAACAAGCAACACCTCCTCCTCCGCCGCTGCCTGGCTGCCTTAGCTCCTCCTCGCCTGCCTGGCGGTCCTCGCTCCCGCCAGCGAGCATGGCGACCCACCAGCTGTCCTCTGAGCTTCCTCACCAACCAACTCTCATTCTGGCCCATCTTCCTGAACACGCAACACCTCCTCCCAGCAAGCTCCTAGCTGTCCAGCATTCATTCAACCAGGAGGCCAGCAACAGGCAACATCTTCTCTAACGAAGCTCCTGCACATCTACCTCCTTCAACACGCTACTCACCGAACGTCTTCTACTGAGCAGCTCCCCACCACACGGCATCTCCAGCACCAGACTGTCTATCATATAACTATATTATACAAGAAAACCACCACCTTAGAGTTTCCTTCCATCCTGAGTGCTAGACAACATAAATATCTCGATACCCCTACACTCCCGTAACACTGGCTGTAATATTGGCCGTGACTCCTGTAACACTTACTGTAATACATCTAACGCTGGCTGTAAGCATGCAACATTGGTTGTACTACTGACTGTGTATACTTGCAACATTGGCTGTATGCATATAACACTGGCTGTATACATGTAACGCTGGCTGTAATGCTTGTAGCACTGGCTGTATATATGTAACACTGGTTGTATACACGTAACACTGGTTGTATACATGTAATACTGGTTGTAAGATATATATATATATATATATATATATATATATATATATATATATATATATATATATATATATATATATATATATATATATATATATATATATATATATATATATATATATATATATATATATATATATATATATATATATATATTTTTTTTTTTTTTTTTTTTTTTTTTTTCAGCATCTGTGATCCAGGTAAAATGTTGAAAAAAGAACCATTGGTAGCAACTGAAAAAAAAAATTATATACTAATACTAATAATAATAATACTAATACTAATACTAATAATAATAATAATAATACTAATAGTAATAAAAATACTAATAATAATAATACTAATAATAATAATAATACTAATACTACTACTCCTAATAATAATACTAATAGTAATAATACTACTACTACTACTAATAATAATAATAATACTACCACTAATAATAATAATACTAATACTAGTACTAATAATAATAATAATACTAATAGTAATAATAATACTAATAATAATAATAATAATACTAATAATACTAATACTAATAATACTACTAATAAAATACTACTACTACTAATAATAATAATACTAATAATAATACTAATACTAATAATACTAATAATAATAATACTAATGATATTAATAATAATAATAATACTCATAATACTACTACTACTACTAATAATAATAATAATACTAATACTAATAATACCAATAATACCAATACCAATAATAATAATAATAATAATAATAATAATAATAATAATAATAATAATAAAAATTATAATAATAATAATAATAATAATAATAATAATAATAATAATAATAATAATAATAATAATACTAATAATACTAATAATAAGAACACTAATAATAATACTAATAATAATAATACTAATACTAATACTAATACTAATACTACTACTACTACTACTAATAATAATAATACTCATAATAATAATACTACTACTACTGCTAATAATAATACTAATACTAATACTAACACTAATAATAGTAATAATAATACTAATACTACTAATAATACTAATAATACTAATAATAATAATACTAATAATAATAATACTACTAATGATAATAATACTAATAATACTAATAATAATTATACTAATAATAATAATAATACTAATGATAATAATACTAATAATAATAATAATAATAATAATAATATTATTGTTAATATTATTAATAATAATATTATTTATATTATTATTATTATTATTATTATTATTATTATTATTATTATTATTATTATTATTATTATTATTATTTTATTATATTGCAATCCTCCAATTGAATATTTTATCATTATTTTTTTCTGATAATTTTGAATATAATTCTTACCATTACCGTGACTTACCTGTTGCTTGAAGATCTTGGTAGCCAGAGTGTAGAGGATGGGGTTGAGAGCTGAGTTGACAGGTAAGACGAACACCGCCATCCAAGCGTATAGGGTCCTGTCTATCACCACACCTGCGATCGACAACCTGTTATTGTGGTGATGCTGATGGTGATGATTATAATGGTGATGATAGTGGTGATGTTGACGTTACTGATGATGATGATTATTATGATGATGATGATGGTGGTGGTGATGATGATGATGATGATGATGATGGTGAGATTATGATGGTGATGATAGTGGTGAAGATGACGATACTGATGATGGTGATTACTATGATGATGATGATGATGATAGTGATGATTATAATGGTGATGATAGTGGTGATGATGACGATGTTGATGATGGTGATTATTATTATGATGATAATGATGGTGATGATTATGATGGCGGTGACGGTGATGGTCATGATGATGACGACGTTGGTGAAACTGATGGTCATGATTATGATAATGATGCTGTTGGTTATGACGGTGATGATGGTGTGATGATGATGATGGTGTGATGATGATGAGGATGATGATGATGGTGATGATTATGATGATGGGGATGATGACGGTGGTGATGATGATGATGATTATGATAATGGTGGTGATGATGATGATGATGATGATATTGGTAATTATGATGTTAGTGATTATGATGGCGGTAGTGATGATGTGGTAATATGGATGGTGTTAAATAAAATACTAACGATAATAACATTATTAATATAGAAACAATAATTAGAGGAGCAGCAGTGATTATGAATATGATAATAGTAGTGATTATAACACCAAAACCACACAAACACACTACTACTACTACTACTTTGCTGTCACTCGGAATCGAGTATGACGATCATCCAGCTATGGTACAATGATATGAGTTATTAAGGATGGACAGGTGGGAGCCGAGATACCGAAACTGAGTAACATTAGAGAGGGTAGTACGGTTAAGTTGGATGGATGGTGGAGGTGTGTCTGAACCAGAGGCAGGTTGAAAGAAAATTTGAGTTTTATGTACATTCACCTCAAGGCCGAAGTATGCATACGCATCTGTGTAGGTGATCAGGATCTCCTGTAGGTCGTGTTCAGTGTGAGCAACATGGGTGAGGTCGTCTGCATACTGAGGTTCTGCAATAGAAGCTGCCGACACATTTGTTCTACACACACACACACACACACACACACACACCATATTACCTCCCAGGGCGATGACTTTAATAACAATAACAGGCATCCAGCAGAGGAAGTCGGTGCCCACGATGAACGCGAACCTCTTCACTAGGATTCTGTCCTGCTTCTCCTGCGTCGACCTGAGCGACATCTGGGACTCCCTAATGGCTAAGATCATCCTCCCGTAGGCGTAAGCGATGAACATGAAGGCTACCAGGTTGAAACCAATGAAGATAATGGCAGAGTGTTCCCACGCCTGCACAAAGGAAAAACAGGAGAACAAACTGTATAGGTAATTCAAGTAAATTTAGAAATCAAATCCTGTATAATTTCATTCCATTACCGTCGCACACACACACACACACAAGCAAACACACACACCCACACACATACATATATATATATATATATATATATATATATATATATATATATATATATATATATATATATATATATTAGCCACTATCTTATTCGTCCTTAATATTATCCACGCTCACACTAATCTCACCTAACTTAATTTAGTCTAGCATTGTCCTATAGATCGTGTTAGGGTTGTTTAAGCATCCTATGAAATAAGCTGGGGGCAAATTTTCACTTCACTACTGCAGGTGTCCACGACTGTTAAATAGTTCATTCGTCTTCTATTTGTAATTTTTGGCCTCTAACGAATACCCAAATTTCGTTCACATCTTTGACGAAGAGTCATACCAAACCTTTTTACTTAACTTTACCTTCGGCTGATGTAGGGGTTGTAGTAGTTATGTTCACAACCTTTTACCCTGTCGTAAGGGTACAGTTGTATATTCACGGCCTCTTACCTTGGTATAGGGATCGTAGTTATTGCATTCAGAACAATTTACCTTGGCATAGGGGTCGTGGATATGCAGCGGAAGGCACATGCCATTACTGCCATAGAAGTTGTCACCGTAGTACTGGATGCCGAGGAGCGGGAGGAGAGCTAGGAGGGCGGCCAAGGTCCAGGTGATACTCATCACCCCAACAGGTATACGCAAGTTCCTCTCCTTCAGGGTCAATGGATGTACGATGGAGAAGTAACGGTCGAGCGTGATGGTGGTGAGTGTGAAGACCGACGCCTCTGAGCTGAGTGTACTGAGGAACCCTGTGAAAGTGTGTGAGATTGTGGCCAACACTGAATCAAACAACAGTGATAAAGAGCTAACCATAAGCTGCGTTAGTGAGGATTGGACAGCAGTTCTATCAGTGAGTGAGTGAGTGCGGTATATATATATGTATATATATATATATATATATATATATATATATATATATATATATATATATATATATATATATATATATATATATATATATATATATATGTATGTGTGTGTGTGTGTGTGTGTGTGTGTGTAACTTATCGGAATTCATGTTGGGGTTTATTTTTTTAAATTTTTTTACCGGGAATAGCCCACCCGGGCAAAGGTCATCGACCCACAACTGGGTCTTGGGAGCGAAAAAATAAGAGTAAAAAGAAATTAAAAATAGAAAAGAAAAATAATATATTAATCTACACCACGAAGATGCAGGAAAACCAGCTTCTTTTGAAGTGAGACAGATTTTAAGAGTATGGAAACACAGAAGACAGAGCATTCCACAGTTTGGCTGTGTGAGGAAAGAAGGATGTACTATAACGGGCTACTCTAGTGTGACCGATATCCAAATTAATATGTTACTTTTAGTATTTACCGTGACCTAGACTGGTGTTCCTGAGATTAGGGTTAAAGAGACACTTGTATTAATCATCAGCACCACCTTACAGCACTGGAAAATTATTAATTACACAGGACAATGGTTCATTTGGATCTACCCCTCAACATATCCTGCTTCGCTAGACACCACTATTATCAGTGTACGAAAATATGACACTGGTCCCAATGTGAGCTCAAAACGTCCCAATAATTACCCAAAACCCGCGCACGTCCCTGTATGTTCAGTTCTGGTGCCCTTATTATAGAATAGATATCAATTCACTGGAGTCGGTGCAGCGAAGAATGACGAAAATGATTCCGGGACGTAAAAACCTTCCATATCAAGATTGGTTAAAGAAACTAAACTTGCATTCCCTAGAAGGACGAAGAGTACGAGGAGATATGATAGAAGTATTTAAGTGGGTGAAAGGAATCAATAAAGGCGATATAGATAAAGTTCTTATAATATCCGAGCAGGATAGTACTCGTAGCAACGGATTTAAGTTGGATAAGTTTAGGTTTAGGAGGGAGATAGGAAGGAACTGGTTCACAAATAGGGTGGTGGACGAGTGGAACAAGCTTAGCAACTTTGTAGTAAGTGCTGGAACGCTGAAAAGTCTTAAAAGGAGCCTAGATAGATTTATGGATTATAGAGATTGGTAGTAACTCTCGACAGGAGCTGCCATACACAGGCCAACCGGCCTATTGCAGACTCCTTATTTCCTTATGTTCTTATGTTCTAGTTTTTAATGTTCGCTAGGAGAGGGATTGAGATGCACGATAAAAAAAAAGAACTATCTAAACTTAAAACAACAATAAAGTTCTGGTTGTTTGAACTTATAAAAACTTTAAATGCTGTTTTCTCCTTTTTTTTAATTTGGCGCTTCACCTCCTTGTAATGAGGAGCGCCTCATATTATAGCTGGCTTTTAACTTCGTCAACAGTGTATGAATGAACTTGATAACGTACATTTCTTAGGCCTCGTGGCACCAGCTGGTCACTTAGTTCCCGACTCCCCAACTCGGAGCTTGGTGCGCTGCGCACAAAGGCTTTGTTTAGGTCTGATCACGGGGCGTGGCATGTACAGTACTCATGACTCTCGCTCCACTTATGTTTCCCTATTTGTTAAATCAGTAATTTTCGTTTTAAATTTCAGAATATCACACACACATATACATATATATATATATATATATATATATATATATATATATATATATATATATATATATATATATATATATATATATATATATATATATTGTTACGCCGTCTCTTAATTTACTTTAATATCCAAGGTTCTAGGCGTAACCAAACAAAAAGTAAAGTGAAGTAAATCAAAAGGGAATAAAAATAAATAAAGTTAACCTTTAAGAATTTAATTAAATAAAATACCAACACAATAAAGAGCATCGTAGGCTGTCACAACAAATTGATTCACTATCGAAACCTTTAAGACACAAATGATACTAAAACATCGAAACATGAAAAGAATAAAAATAAAGCATTGGATTACGTTAACACTGCATAAACATATAAAAACTAACACTGAAATTAACTATGGTGAAACAACACTGAATTACTGAAATGTAACTAAGCAAACACTGATGGATACATAAGAGACATAAATAGGTACTCACATAGATATACCACATTGGTGGTGACAGGTACAACATAGAAATAAAATGAAGTATAAGTAACAGGTGACGAGTGTCACTCAAAACAACGTGAACTGAAGGACAAGAGGACTGGACTGCACTCTGTCTGCTGATGGAGTGCTATATATAGGCTAGGCTTCCCGCCAATGTGACCAGCAGGCGAAACATGGGTCGTTTAACGATGCAGATGGTCGTTTAGAGAAACAAAGAATGCTTGTTACAATACTAAATTAAGAAATAAGATGGGCTTGAACAAATAATAACAGTTAAAACCTTAACCCCACAGGGTAAGGTGACTAGATTATATAATAGTAGATATAACACATCATTACAGGAATAATATGGGACAACATGGAAGCATGTTATATAAAAAAAATAGAAAAATAAGACACGGTCGTAACAATATATATATATATATATATATATATATATATATATATATATATATATATATATATATATATATATATATATATATATATATATATATATATATATATATATATATATATATATATTTTTTTTTTTTTTTTTTTTATGGGGGTTAGCCCACCCGGGCACAGGTCACTGACCCACATCAAGGCCTGGGGGGTGAAAATGTAATAATAATAATAATAATAATAATAATAATAATAATAATAATAATAATAATAATAATAATAATAATAATAATAATAATAATAATAATAATAATAATAATAATAATTCATATTAAATAAAATTTATAATAAATAATAAAAAATTATAAATAAAATAATAATAATTCTTAGTAAATAAAATTGTTAATAAAAAATAAAAAATTAAAAATAAAATAATAATGACAACAATAATAATAATAACACTAATAATAATAATAATGACAATAATAAAGAACCATAAAGAAATGTAAAAATGAAAAAAAATCAATAGTGAGAAACAATATATGCATGTTGTGTTCTCAAAGTAAGAGAAACAATTGAAACCCTGCAATTGTGTGCAAATGAGGCAGAAAGTCAGATCAGCAACCTGGGACTTGGTCATAATTTTCGTGATGCCATATAGCAGCAGGGTCTACCATTAGACAACACATTATGCTTCCAATATTTTCCCAGGCAGTAGTACCTCCCTGTTTGGTAGCAGGTAAAAACATAGGTACAGATTCATGCCTATTACGGAGGCAGCTGACGAATATGACAGATCTCACCAACTCATATAAGTATTAATTCAATTATTTTTATTTATATATTTTTTTTTTTACTTTATTGGGCACCCCTCCTACATCCTGTGCAAGGTGAAGCGCAGAAGCGCTTACAGCGCCCTTCTGGGAAGCATGTTAAGTTCATGTCTCATGAGTTAAGGGGGTAGAAGCCTGAAGGGTCATAGGCTTTTTTGTCAAGGGCATAGAAGCCTGAAGAGTCATAGGTTTTTGTCAGCAAGTTATTGGAAGTTCCAACAACTTTCCCTGAATACGAATTCGCAGCTTTTCGATTTAAAACAGGTACCTACTTTACTGCTAGGCGAA